AGTCATTCCAGAGTTTGCTGGGTGAAAGGTAAAGAAGGAAAGGAAAAGGACTAGTGGAGGAGGTAGAGAGTTGCTGACAAAGAGGATGGAGGTAGGTTCTGGAAGAACCGGGAGGGGTTGGGATCAGTAGTTATGGGAATATTTTAAATAGAGTTAATTATTTTATTCTCAATGAAGGGGAGAGGTGTGTGGGAGTGGAGGAGATTTGGGACCTGCTGAGCTAAGTATGTGATCAGTATTTAACGAGATAAATCATGGTAGATTATGAAATGTTACGGCATGATTGAAGAAAGCATGTTATTGGGAACTCAGTTGTTTTGTTTTTATTAATTTCTTGAGGATTCCTCAGCAGCTTGGGAGCAGATAAAGTGAATGGTGGTGTTGAACCTGCTTTGAAGACAGGGCTAACTGGTGTAACAAATGTAAGGAATTTTATGTTTCTACAGAAGACATTCTGTGGTTCAGGCCATTTAGGAAACCAAATACTGCCAAATGAGGAATAATTTAGTTGGAGTACAGAAAGGAATTAAGAAATTAGAGTGCACATTGAGGACCAAGATGAGGTGTGAATGTGGGAGGGGAGAAAGGTATGACTTCTGTGGTCACAGAGGAAGAGCACTGAATATAAAAATTTAGGTAACATTTTGAGATTACCAGATAATCCGTGGGCCTCATCTGAGTTTAAAGGCCATGCAGTTTTGAGATGAAAGGTAAAGGATAACAGATGTGTTCAAATCAGAAACAGTAACCTAGAAGTAGTCTTCATTTGGATTAAACAGGATATTTGTAAACAATTTCTAGCCTGAGGACTTATGAAATGTGGGATATTTAATTGATAATAAGGAGATAATTTCAACAGGGTTATACAGGGACCAGGAGTATTCTGGGCATATGCTGCTGTTGGATCATATTGGGATGTAGCAGATGAGTTTTGATAGTTATGTCTGTGATGAAAATTGGGATGTAGAAAAATGGAATCTCTGGGTGTACTGTCTATTAAGGAACTTTCAAAGACAGGATGAATAACTTATTGATTGACCTCTTCTGGGCATTTATACATACAGTATTTTGTTTAGCATATTAATTATATACTATTTAATATTCCTGAGATTATAGTTTAGTTGTCAAGGACCTGGAAAGATTCACAACCTAGAATTCATGCACATGAAGGTCATACACTGTGACCTTCGTCATTTAACGTAATGTCTTCCTATTTTTAGTCCTATCGTTGATATTGTAGGCTTCAAAACTTTATTTCGGTAATTTTGATGGAAATAGTAAATTAAATAGTTTGTGAAGGGGTGGTACACGGAAATCTTAACATGCAACTCTTAACTGCCAAGGATTTTTAAGAGCAGCCATCACAGAAAGCCAATTACCATTTGGAAGAGCTAATATTTGTTGACACTAGACTGTGACCTGTGGCCCTAAAACTATGGTTGCTGGAGCTGAGTCTTAGAAGACTGAGAAGCTGAAGTAAATAATGAAATTGAGATAGGAAATCAGTGAGGAATAAGCAGTTAGTGTTGTCTCAGAGGCCAAGGAAATAGATCGAAGTGATGAGGAAAGAAAAGCAACAAGAGAGAAACTTAAGAAAAAACCCAGTATATTGTAGTGTTTTATACACAAGCCTAGTAGAAGAGCCATAGTAGAAAGCCATCTTATCCAGCAAGTTTTGGGATATACACGGTAAAGTCAGAAGAAAGATGTAAAGTGTACTAACTCTTAAAGAGAAGGTAATTATAGCCACGTGTCTGGAAAAGAATGTTTGTTAGAAGTTTAATGTAAGTTTGTGGTAAAGGTTTATACTTAATATATAAAGATAATTATTCAAATTCTTTGCTATTTCCTATTTAAATGTATTTTTAAAACTTTGTATTGTTAATTTTCTGTTATTGTTAAATTGGAGTACTTCAGCTGTGACCTCAGTAAAAGGTTTCTGATATAAGTTTAATTAGTTCATCTTTGCTTTTTCGCTCTTAACTTGTTATGTATGCCATCTCTTTCTAAAATTATTTTTCCTAAAGAGCCAATTTCATGAATCTTTTGGAACCTGAATGGACGGAGTGTTTGTTTTCTGCTGCTCCTTTACTCCTTTTCCTCCTTCCTTATTCTAAGTAGAAATATTAGTTCACTCTTTCCTACCCCACTTCTTAACTTTAAAAATAATACTTCACATGGAGAAACAGTGAAATAGCTTGAAGGGATAAAAAGTATACTATGAAAAAGATGGGTATACAGTAAAAAGTAAGTTTCCTTCTACCTCTGACTCCTCTCACCCGCAGGCTGCCAGTTTCCCTACATGTACAGAATGGGAGAAACATCCTTTAAAACCCAAGCAAACATTGGTGACTAGAAAATATAATTGTCATTTAGCTGTAAAGGAATGCATGAGCATAAGCCATTTTTCAAGTACTCCAATCTTAACTTTGTTTTTCTTGGTAGAACATTTTACAAATAGGGATTCAGTTAGAAGTGTCAAAGCTAAACAGTTGGATAACTTATTCCTGGAGCAGTTTGGTATTGATATGGTATATTTTGGAGTGCTTTCTTTTCATTTGTTTACTAACCATGTTCTGCTCTCCCAAATGAGGAATGTTAGTGTTTCTACAGAAAATGAGCTTTGAAATTAGACAAATCATGAGTTGAACTCTGGTAATGCTAATTCCGAGCTGTGTAATCTTGGCAGTTCTTTCAATTTGTCTGACCCTTGAGTTCTTCATCTGAATAATGAGAATAGTAATAACTACTTCTCAGGATGTTTTCAAGGGTTGATTCCCTTTAAAGTACCCAGCAAAGTGCTAGGCATGTGGTAGGGACTCAATAAATGTTAATTTTTTTTCCTCTTTTCTATCAGTGTTATTAATGCAACCCGGAGACATTGTTAAAGGAACTACTGTTGTGGGTAAAAGATTCTAGGTAAACTCGACTATCACCGTTTTCCATCTCTGTAAACTAAATAACACAGTTGATCATTTTTATTTGGGAAATCCCAGATACAGATAAAGGTAGCAACAGGCAGTTGTGGCCTAGAGTAAAATTTTAAGGGCAAGTGGCTAATTGGGGGGAAAGAATAGAGTTTCTGAAATATTGACATTTCAAGCCAGGTAATGCGGGCAGAGGGTAAGCTATCCTGTGCCTTCTTGATTGTGCAGCAGCATTCGCGTCTCTGCTGTCTAGATGCTCTGCTTCGCCAGTAGCGTCCTCCCCTCTACTCAAGTGTGACAACCAAAAATATTTCCAGACATTGCCAAATTGCTCCTGGTTAAGAACCACAGTTTTAGAGCATGGCCTGAAAAGGATACATGTGGAATGACTTCACATTTATGGAAGCACAATGAAAAGAGTAAATTAATGTTATTATACGTATGGAAAATAGGTTGTCTTTTGTAGCTGACACTTAAAAGATTTAAACTCAGTGAAAGAGAAGTTATTTGTAAGAGAGAGATAAAAGAATCTGGAAAAGGATGCTTCATCCATTGATTCCATAATTTCACAGAGGGCTGGCTAAATAGGAAAAATGTGGTTCATAGCACTTTTAAAAAATGCTGTATTACTAGGATATGATCAATATATATCCTAATCCTCTCTCTGTAATGCTGTATGATGTGAATTTTTTTAAGAGCAGCAGTACCCCTGACAAAAAGCAAGATTTTATATAGTCAGAAGTATTCTAGGAATAAAATAAAATAAAATAATAGCAATAAAAATTTAGGTAAGTATGATTTATCAGAGAACCTTCATTTCTGAAAATGCCCATTTAATTGAAATTTGAGTATGTTATCTCTAGATTTTTAGGGAGTCTCTGGTGGTCACTAATTCCTATCATGTATTTGGGGAAACCAAGATAATGTGTGTGATGGTTAGAGTATTATCTCTAGAGTTGGGACTGCCTGGATTCACATGTTGCTTCTTCCGTTTGCTAACTTTTAACCTAAGACAAATTACTTAGTCCAAGCTGAGCTCAGTTTCTTTTTCTGTGTTGGAGAAAAATTGTCCCTACCTCCAAGATCACTCTGAGGATTCAGTGAGTTAATCCATCCGCAGTGTTTTGGCATAATATGTGGCACACTCAGTAAATGTTTACTCTCATTATTTTTATTTTAATTGAAAATCTTGTTGCATGGTAGAGCATATAGGTTTAAGGCTAGTTTTGCCCAGCTTTAGAAATATATGCAAGTATACTTCTGATTCAAAGTTATTTTTGTTATCTCTGGTTTGTCTAGCCCCAGGAATTGACTTTAACTAAAAAGGGTAGAATCTCAGAACAATTTGAAATTAGGTAGGCATGAATACCTATTGTAGATACTTGAGTGATTTTTTTAACTTTATTTTTTATTGAAGTGTAGTTGCTTTACAATGTTAGTTTCAGGTATACAACAGAGCGATTCAGTTATGCATATACATATGTCTATATATTTTCAGATTCTTTTCCATTATAGCTTATAAGAAATTGAATATAGTTCCCTGTGCTATATAGTAGGTCCTTGCTGTTTATCTATTTTATATATAGAAATGTGATACATGGGTAATTTGAAGAAAGTTAGGCTCCTGTTTTCAGATACTCTTGTTAATTTAAGAAGAGAAACTCCAATTGTCCATTTCTTGGTATCCTTAACTCCTTGATCTTTCATCTTGACGTTTCATCTGCCCTGTCATGATAATCCTGCTAGGAAGGAGAAATCAAGATGGGTCCTAGAGTCTCATTGGAGCTATGCTAGACCCTATATATATCTCTTTGATCATGCACCCCATTTTTTTGTTTTCCCTCATTTCCTAAGAGCTGGTTTAAATTGCCCTGGTTTCTGTGGAGTAGACCTTCAAATCTTTTCTTTACTTAAGGATTTATGTTGGGGAAAGATGAAATCAAAGGGCATAAGAATATCCCTGGAAAATTCTTGTATGTCTGTTCCTTGCCTTTTAGACTTCACAGATACATGTTTTGGAGTGCCAGTGTCGAAATACCAAACTAAAAAAGGTCGCTTGTTTTTTCTTTCTAGGCAGAAAAATTAATGAAGCAAATTGGTGTGAAAAATGTGAAGCTTTCAGAGTATGAAATGAGTATTGCTGCTCATCTAGTAGACCCTCTTAACATGCATGTATGTATCTTTAATCTTATTTATTTATTTATTTTAGTCTAGCATTTTGTGTCAAGGGTCCCAAGGACCACAACCAAGTTTGATGATTCTCTAGAGGAATCACAGGATTCAGTGTAGTCATAGTCATGGATATAATTTATTATGGCAAAAGGATACAAGGCAAAATCAGCAAAGAAAGAGAGGCATGGAAAGAAGTCTGGTGGAAATCAGGCACAAACTTCCATGTCTTCTCCCAGTGAAGTCACACGGGATGCACTTAATTCTGCCAGCAGTAGGTTGTAAGAACACGTGTCAAATGCTGTCCCATCAAAGAAGCTCATTAGAGACTTAGGGCCCAGGGTTTTAATTGGAACTGGTCACATAGACTCCATCTTCTAATGTGTATCAAAATTCTGGACTCCCATAAGGAAAACAGGTATCCACCATGAACCATATTGTTTGCACAGTTTAGCTATTCTTATCAGGGAATGGTGGGAACTCTCCTGAAATCTAAGTTCCCATATTCCAGCCAAGGGCCAGCCTTGTTAAGCAGACCTTTCTAAGGATAATAGTCTTAGGCCTGCTATATTAACTTTTTTTGTGTGCACATCTGTTTAGTTAAAACTGTACCTTTATATATTCACTTTTGTGGTATATAAAATTACTGTTCTAAGTCATGTGGTTATTTGATTTGGAGTCTAAATCTAGATTTCTATCTAGATTTAAGGTGTGATAGACAACACAAGATTCTGAATCCTAGTTTTTCCATTTGTGTCCTTGGCAAATTGTTTCCTCTTTGAGTTTCAGTTCCCTCGTGAATAATCCATGGATACTGTAATAGCTGCTCTACCTACTTTTAAAGGATTATTTTGAACATCAGATTAATGTAATTTATGTATTCTAAAATCCTATGAATATTTTATAACAATAGATATAAATAAATAGTGAAATATATATCCTTAGCCCCAAATCTAGAAAATAAAAATCTACAATGTCTATTAATATCTGCGTGCACAGAGATACATCATGCCCTTCCAGAATTAATCCTCCATTTGAATTTGATTTATAAATTTACAATGGCACTTTCTTGAAGCCCTACCTATATTGATTTCTGAGTAAGACTATACTAATGAACTCAATTTTTTGTTACAGCTACAGTGTAAGTAGGTGATTTTTTTTTCAGATCTGGTTGCAATTTTTTAACTTTTTTCTTAAAGTGAAAAATAAATAAATCTATTGTAAATACTGCTTCTGACCAGCCCCTTTAACTCTGCCAGATTACAGCTGGGTTGTTTTTGTTTTTTAGGTCTTTTTCAGTACCCCTCCCCCTAGATTTTTTAGGTTGAGTCAGCAGGCTTTTAAAATACATAAGCTGTGTGAATTTTGAAAGCATGTATCCCCTGTTTACTATTTAAAAAGACGTAAGTTTTGACACAGTTTTACTTTTGATTTATAAAATTCATAAGCCCAGTTTGGTGAGTATAGGCCTTATTTCTAAATTCATTCCTATTATGTTTGACAGCTTCTTGTATGAATTAGGCACACTTCTGATGAGCTCTCCCCCATCAGTTAGTGCCAAATTATCTGTCTGAGCTGGTTCTCAACCTTCTTGGCAGAGTATTTCTTCCTTTTACGTGGAGTGAATTTAGCTTGTTTAGGTCCCTGCAGAGTTTTGAGTGCTGCACCTAGTCTTTTTTTTTTTAATAGTAGATAATTGACTACTCCTTTTTGCGGTCCATAGTAGTTTAATAATTTGAGTATTGCCTTAAAGTGCGTATGTTAATATATCATTTTAAACTTTTGTTATTTATGTATAAAGCTTGCCATTTTGGAAGGAGTTTTTTCTACTTCAGTGAAAATACATTAGTTGTAAAAATTTATGTTGACCTTACCTTTTACCAGGTTACTTGGAGTGATATAGCAGGTTTAGATGATGTCATTACAGATCTGAAAGACACAGTCATCTTACCTATCAAAAAGAAGCATTTGTTTGAAAATTCCAGGCTTCTGCAGCCTCCAAAAGGTATGGTAAAAGTTTATTTTTGCTAAAGCATTAAAAATCTGGGAAGCATTGGAACTTTCTGCCATTATAGAACTGGTGTTTTTGAAGTTGGATTTTCAAGAGAATGCTAAGATACAGTGAACTGTTTTATGAATAATAAAATAATTGTTTTAAAATTTTTAAAGAAATAATTGTTCATTCCTTAGCTTTCCAAATTTAGATAAAATTTTCCCTGTGGTTACATGTCAAAATAATCCTTTATTTCAAATTCATTTTTATTATTTACAAGAAAACAAAAATTTGGGAAATCAAGGATAAAGAAATCCAAAGTAACAATATGGGTTTTTGTTTTCAAGGTAAGACTTCTTTTTGTTATTTCATGATTCTAGTGATTATTTTTCCTCTTGGTAATTCTGTTTATTTTTAGATTGCAATTTTTTTTTTGAATAGGAAATAGCGAACTACAGATGAACTAGAAGTTAAATACTATTTATGTTTAAAAGAGAAACATTTTCTTACTCCTAGTTAGTAATTACTTTGAAAGCCTGGGAACTCAAGAATCGAAAGTATTTATAACTAGGTCCTTAAAGGTAATACTTTTGCTCTTCTTCATATAAGTATTAATCATGTTTTAGGTTTATTAAAGGCAATTCAAATGGAGAGTACATGATGATTGATAGTGAGATCTTTAGAGTTGTGTTGCTATGGCTTTCAGATACAAATGCTGTTGTGTAGCTTATTTTTTCCCATCTAGTAGAAATTTTTCTTCATTGTATTGCCAGAACTAGGCAGGTTGCTAGTCAAGACTGAAATCAAATTATTAAACACATGCATTTCTCAAAAAAGTGGGATCTTTAGAAATATCAAAATAGTATAGGCTGAAGTTGTTTATAATCTTACTAATTTTGCAGCTATATCAAAAAGTGCATTAATTTGTATTTCAAAGGTAATTAAAGCCAATATGTGTACATTTTTATGAAGTAGATAATTTAATTTTTTGTGCTATAGTGGTCTTAGTTTGTGAAGAGGGAGGGCATTAGATGATTTTGTCAACCATTGATCAAGTGGTGTGAGTTTGGATGTTAAGATGATTGTCTTTAATATCCTGAACTAGACCTTTTCACGAAGGGAGGAAGCACAGAGATGCTAAAATTCCTAATACTTGTCATCACTGACATGAACTTAGAATATAGCACCTTCCTTTCTACTATAAGAAAAGATAAAATGAAAGTGAATATTGGGAAAAATTTTAGTGTGGGCAGAATTAATACCATGTTGATTATCACATAAACTAAAGCAAATACCTTGTTCTCTTTCCAGGTGTTCTTCTCTATGGACCTCCAGGCTGTGGTAAAACATTGATTGCCAAGGCTACAGCCAAAGAAGCAGGTTGTCGGTTTATTAACCTTCAGCCTTCAACACTGACTGATAAGTGGTATGGAGAATCTCAGAAACTGGCTGCTGCTGTTTTCTCCCTTGCCATAAAGCTACAGCCTTCCATCATCTTCATAGATGAAATAGGTATGCTTTGTTTTCTATGCAAGCATTTCAAAGGGTGGTGTTTAGATGACCAGATTTAGTTTTGTTTCTTTTTTTAAATTTTATTTATTTATTTTTGTGGGGGGAGGGAAATAATTAGTTTTATTTACTTATTTACGTTTTTTTTTTTTAGAGGAGGTACTGGGGATTGAACCCAGAGTCTCGTGCATACTAAGCATGCATTCTACCACTTTGAGCTATACACTCCCCTCTCAGATTTAGTTTTTAATATTTGTTTAGGCCAAATTAATAAAAGAGATAACCAACATCCTAATTTGCAATGTCTGACTTCTGTGTTATAGAATAAACCATAGTCTGTTTTTTCACCCCCTTGATACTTTTTTTGGTCTTTTCTCTTTTATAAACAGTATGCAGTGGACTTTCATGTACATGTTTCCTCATGCATATATGTTTGTCTAGGGTACATGAAGTTGAACCGTAAGGTTGTGTGATGTGTTTACCTTCAGCCTCACTGGGATGACCAGATCGTCAGAGTGGTCATACCCATTTTCACTCTGACCTGTGTATGGTTGGCTTGTACTGCCCCAGAACTTATTTTTTCAGACATTATTGTTAATTTTTGTCAACTTAAAGAGCAAGAATTATTATTGTTTTGTGTTTCCCTATTTACTAGTAAATTTGGGTGTCTTTTAACATGTTGATTGGCCATTTAGGTTTCTCTGCTTGTAAATTGCCAGTTTTTCTTTGGGGTTATTTGCATCTTTTTTAGTAATTCTTTGTTGATGTTTTATTATGATTGCAAATATTTCTTAGACTGGCTTGTCTTTTCACTTTATGATAGTTTCTTTTACATTTAAATTTAAATGTAGTTATATTTATCAAGTCTTGTGTCTCGTTTACAAATCTCTTCACTACCTCCATACTCTCTTTTTTAAAATACATAACATGAAGTAGGAATCCAGTTTCATACTTTTCCATATGGACAGCCAACTTATAAAACAGATCTTCTCTCCCTGAATGTCATGACCTTTATATTTGTGGACTTTTTCTACATTTTATCAATTATCTATATTTTTGTTATAATGTTATATATTATAATAAAGCTATAGTAATTAAACCTATAGTTTTGAATTACACTATTTTAATTATATGTAATATGATAGGCTATATAATAATAGAGAAAGATAGTTATAGATATAAAGTATTTTGCCTTGTGTATCTTTCTCATCAGTTTATTCCAGTTATTTCGGGGTTTTGCTTTGAATTTTGCACAAAAGAGCATATAGCTGGATTTTTAAAAATTTTAATCTAAGACTTTTTAACTGGGAAGTGTAGTCAGTTTGCTTTCATTTTGATAGCTAATGTATTTAGGTTTATTTCTAATAGACAATTGTATGCTTTTTATTTACCAGTCTAGTGGGCTTTGGTGCTTTCTTTATTCCCTTTTCCCTGCTACGGGTTTAAAAGTTATATATAATTGACCCTTGAACAACACAGGTTTGAACTGAATGGGTCCATTTGTACGTGGATTTTTCTGATAGTGAATCCTATAGTGCTGCACAAACTGTAGACATGGAGGAGCCATGCATGTGGAGAGCCAGCTATAAATTGTGTGTGGACTTTGGATTGTGGGAGGGATCAGTGCCCCACCCCCACCTGGTTGAAGGGTCAGCTGTATTCTCTTTTAGCACACATTTAGCATAGCTACTTGTCTTAAAAGTCTAGGCTAATTGTTTCTCCCCTCCTCCCAAATAATACAGGGACCTTAGAACTTTTAAGTACTAATCATTCCTCTTATCTCTTACATATTGTTAATGGCTTATCTTATTTTTTACTTTCCATATTAGTTATTTTTATACTGACAGTGCTTGTTTAGAGATTCACTGCCAGTTTTTTGGCTTACTATTGCTTCTTACACCTGCCTTTTCTGGATTTAATTTCCTTCTTACTGAAATCTGTTAAATTTCTTTCAGCAAAGATTGTGAGTTCAGTGACTTTTGTGTGTCTTTTGTGTGAAAATGTGTTAATTTTGTCTCTACTTTTAAGTGGTACAGAATTAATATTCTTTCAACATTTTGAAGCTTGAAGTCCGTTGTCTTCTAATCTTTCTTGCTGCTTTTGAGAATTCTGCTCATAGCCTAATATTTCTTTGTAAGTAGTCTATCTTTTCTCTAGTTGCTATTGAATGTTGCAAGGCTTCTATATATGTATTTTTTATGCAACTCTACTTAATTTTGAGTGATTTCCATAGTTTTAGCGTCTGGTTCTCTGTTTCATCAGTTCTAAAATATACTGTCTTGTTTTGGGGTTTTTTTGCATTTTAACATCCCTGAAATTGGAGTAGCATGTTATAATTTAATTGGCAGTTTTTTCTTCTTTTAGTATTATAATTTAATTGGCAGCATTTAAAATTTTTTGTTTATACATAAAGTAATTGTGAAAGTCAAAAATCAATCATTGAGTGAGTTATAAAAAGCAGTTCTTTGCTTGGCTGTGTTTAATCTCACAATCATTGGGTTTGTAGTCTGTTGATTATATTTAAACTTCAGAAATTCTATGTTTCTCTCAGATTTATCTATTATCATTGTAGCTTGTTTTTTTGTTGGAATTCCAGCCCGTTTTGTCTTCAGATTTTAAAACATACTATTTTAATTTAGTTTTTTTGGATCATTTTATTGTCTGAAATTCTACTCCTTTGTATCATTAACTATCTCTTTCATAGTAACTTGTTTCCTTGTGTCATTTCTAACATTTGATTGCTTATGACTTATTTTTATATGAGAATTCTGTGTTGCCTAAAACAATCTAGAGTAGTTTTTCTGTCTTCCACTTAGAGCCTTTGGGCTCTAATTTCTCAGTTTGGATGTTCCTAGACTGAACGACAGTACAAATTTAGACTTCAAGTCTGAGAGAGAGAGCGCCCCTGTGGTCCTGGTTTTTAATTTTTCAGGGGGGATATATTTCCCCTAAGGGCCCAGGCCAAGACAGACAAGCTTCCTTAACTCCCTGTAGTGATGAGCAAAATTTTTTTCTTGTCTGTACTTTCTGTGAGTGTACATCGTTTTGAGTATCTTGGCTTCCACATGGATGTTAACACCAAGGCAGAACCTTCTATTGCTACCCATGCATACCTGTTGGGTACACAAGCACACACACAAATAGTGGCATAATCATCTCAAGTTCTCACCATTCTTGTTTTCAGTTCTCTTTTTTTCTGATCTTTTTCTTTCCTTCTTGCAATCTCAGATATTTATTAACTTCTTTTAGATTACTGGACTTTATTTTTTAGAATGGTTTTAAGTTTATAGAAAAACTGAGCAGAAAGTATAGAGAATTCTCATATACCCCCTCCCCCTACACACGATTTCCCCTATTATCAGTACTTTGCATTAGTGTGATGCATTTACAATGATTAATATACCGGTATTGATAACGTTGTTACTAACTAAAGTCCAGAGTTTATATTAAGGTTCATTCTTTGTGTTGTACAGTTCTGTGGTCTTTGACAAGTGTGTAGTATCATATGTCTACCCTTATAATATCACAATAATTTCATCACCCTGAAAGTCCTCCATGCTCCACCTATTCATTCCTCCCAAACTCCTCCCTCCCAAACTCCTGGCCACAGTGTCCTTATAGTTTTGCTTTATTCAGAATATCATATAGTTGGAATCATATAACATACAACTTTTTCAGACTGGCTTCTTTCACTTAGTAATATGTATTTAAGGTTCCTCTGTATCTTTTTGTGGCTTGGCAGTTAATTTCTTTATATTGCTGAATAATATTCCATTGTGTGTTTGTACCACAGTTTGTTTATTCATTCATCTAATAAAGGACATCTTGGTTGCTTCCAGTTTTGTGCAATTATGAAAAAGCTGCTAACAAAACAGATATATAAGATTTTGTGTGGACTTAAGTTTTCAACTCAACTGGGTAAATACCTAAGAGTACAGTTGCTGGATCAGATGATAAATCTGTGTTTAACTTTTAAGAAGCGACCAAACTATATTCCAAAGTGGCTATTTGCGCTTCAAAGTTCCAGCAGCAGTTCCACCATTTTGCAGTTCCCCCAGCAGTAAATGAGACGTCTTTTGCTCTACATCCTGTCCAGCACTTGGTATTACCAGTGTTCTGGGTTTTAGCTATTCTAACACGTGTGTAGTGTTATGTCATTATTTTAATTTACACTTCCCCAGTGACATATGTGTTGAGCTTTTTTTCCCTATGCTTACCGTCTGTATATCTTCTTTGGTACAGTGTGTTCAGACCTTTTGCTCATTTTTTAACTGAGTTGTTTTCTTATTGTTGAATTTTGAGAGTTCTTTGCATATTTTGGTACAAGTCCTATATAAGTTATGTGTTTTATATATTTTTTTTTTACAGTTTGTGGCTTTTTTCTTTCAACAGTGTCTTCCACAGGGCAGGAATTTTATTTTTAATAAGGTCCAGCTTATGCATTTTTTTCTTTGATGAATTGCGCTTTTGGTGTTGCATGTAAATGCTCATTCCAAAACCAGGGTTCCAAAGATTTTCTCCTTTATTACCTTCTAGAAGTGTTAATAGTTTTTTGTTTTACATTTATATCTGTGTTCCACTTTGAGTTAATTTCTGTAAAAGGTATAAGGTCTGTGCCTAAATACATTTTTTTTTGCATATGAATGTCTAATTGCTCCAGCACTGTTCGTCAGATAATTCATTAACTTAAAAAAATATTTTACTCGAATTTTTTGTTAGTGTTTACATACATGTCTTTTTCCATTCTTTTCAGTATCCTGGGCCCTTCCTTATATTTAAAGACGTGTCTATGGTTAGCAGCACACTTTTTTTTTTAAATTTAGTCTAATATATTAAAACGTATGCTTGGAGACCTTAGATCATTTATATTGAGTCTAATTACTGATATAGTTAGGTTATTTATATTTAACCAGCATTTTAAGTTTTTATTTTGTTTTAAGCAGCCATCACCAGAACCACTTCTTAGCAATGAGGATAATTTAGGAATAATTAATAGGAGAATAATGGTGGTTAATAAGTAGACAGCTGAACTTACACAATTTATCATTGAAAAATAAGCGATTTTTAAATGACTAGATTTTCTACATCCAGAATAAATTTAGTTTTATACATGGTCCAACAATGGGACCTATTAAGCAAGATTAGAATCATAAAAGAAAATCCAAGATATATGTTTGTCTTCATAAGACTCTTACCACATCATGATAATGTGGTTTTGCTGTAATAACTTTTTTTAAGTGTTTTTTTTAAAGCTTGGACCTAGCACATGAAAAAGCATTTTGTGTCGCTTGGGTGTATGATTCACAGACTTCAAATTTTAGTTTTAATGTGGAAATGTGAAAGTTAATCAGAAATACTAGTGATTTGAAGAGATGTAAGACAAAAACATTTGAAATAGGGTTGTACTAGAAAATCTTTTTTCATTCTTAGTATGTACCACCTTTTCAGTCTTTTTGTTCTAGAAGGAAAATGTTTTCCCCATTTTAAAAGCATTTCGTGTTCATTGTAGATAATGTGGAAGACAGAAAAAGGATTCAAGGGAAAATTTAAATTGTCCTTAAGTATCACTGAGAGATAACCAAAGTGATTAGTGTTTTGGTATATTTTCTTAAAGGCTTTTTTTTTTAACCACATGTAACATATATGTACATGTGTGCTAGCATGTGTGTTTTAAACCATTTTCTCTCATTTTCCCACTTAATAGTATTGACATTTTCCAATATTTTTATTTATTACCAGTAAAAATGTATGAGGAAAAAGGATGTGACCCCATAATTAAGAATACCACTAGGATGCAGACAACCTGGAAAGCTAGGGCCAAAGCACACGGACTTTCTTCAAGACACTATTCGTTCCTTTTTTAGCCTGTCAGTACCAAATCATTTGTTTCTTTTATATTTGTTCATATGAATGTATTTTTAGGAAAGAAATGAAGATTGTGAATTGTTTTAATTTGTCCAATAATTTGTCAAAATGGTTATATTAGAATAATGTGTGAAAAGGCTTAGTTGAACCCTTTGTAATCGTTCATAAAATATCAGCTTTAATTAATGATTTGAAATTATATAAAGAATAAATAATTTATTATTAACTTCTAAGGTTAAGGACTTTTTCCTTCTAGACTCCTTTCTACGAAACCGTTCCAGTTCTGATCATGAAGCTACAGCCATGATGAAAGCTCAGTTTATGAGTCTCTGGGATGGATTGGATACTGATCATAGCTGCCAGGTATTTGAAAGAAATCTGCCTTAAACTTGTGTTATTGGTGATGGTGGTGTTAATAGAAAAATTGTCTGCTTGTTAGGCTATTTTATAAAATTTTTTTCACAACTTACACATATCAATAAATGATTGGTATCTGAAAAAATATGGTTTATATATGCTTTCATCCATTTTGAAGACTCTATAATTAACAAAGTGTTAAAGATTTCCTAAATGCCCCAAACGAATACAACAGAAGAGAGAAAACCGAGGTACTAGAACCATTTATGTCAAGGAAGAGGAAGTGACGAGTGGCTATGGGTATTCTGTACGTTTCTTTCGACTCTTACCATAAATCCTTATAGTCTTTACTCTCAGTTCTTATGTCACTTATTTTTATGTTATTGTTTTAAGTTAGTTGCTGAAACTTACATACTTACCCACTTCTGTCACGTGTACCTTCCTAGCTTATACTTGACAGTCTTCTGTCTTAGGCTTTGCCTCTTTACCCATAAAGCTGTGAAAACCAAAACTAAGGTCCCTTGGTATGCCTTAGAGAGAAAACCAGCTATGTTGTTCAGTTTATCTCTTTGAGCTCCTATTTTCACTTAGTTCTTTGCCTCTGTACTTCCTTGCCAGATCAATGATATATTTTAGAAGAAAATTTAAAGAAAAAAATTCATCCAGCATGTTTGTTTTTCTGCCCATATTGCTGGAGTTGGAAGTTCTAGAACCATTTTTCTGTTTGTTTTCCCCTTCCATGAATCACCTATTTTATATTTCATATATATATAAAAACTTTTCTCATAGGAAAGTTTTGAGAAAGTTGATAATGTTCCTTTGTTGTTTTAACTTTTTTAATAGGTATTTTTTATTTTGTAATCTGTTTTTGCCCTTTTTAAAAAACAACTAGAATCATATCTTTCATCACTTCTTAAAAATGTAACCATTAATCCTTTAAATATTGTTTCTTCTCCATTCTCCTTGTGATATTATTGAATGCCAATTGGACATACTTTATTTATATTCCATGTATTTTAACTTTTCTTTTGAAAATTTTCTCTCTGTTCTGTATGCTGGGTGATTCCTTTGCCTCTTCCAATGTGATGATTCTAGCTTCATTTGGATCCATTCTGCTATGTAACGCTTTCATTGCTCTTAATATTTCAATTATGATGTTTTTCAGTTCTGAGAATTCTTTTAGATCTTTTTTTTCAGGTCTGCCAGATTAGTTTTGATGGTCTCTTGCCAGTTGGATTAGAAAAGCAGAGTCCTGCAATCAGTTAGCTTTGTGACCTTGACCAAATTATGTAATCACTCTGCATGGAGGTTATCTGAATATCTTTAAAAAGGGAAGAATACTTTCCACTTCAGAACTGTTGAAGGTTTTTAAGGATTTAATCTGAGTGAAGTGCTGATAATAATACATAGTATATATTTACTACATAAGTATTTGCTGTGTGATTTTTTTTGAGTCTTTGTTTATTCCTTTAAATAAGTTAATACTAATTTTATAGTCTGTATTCAGTAATTTTAACATAGAAATCTTTGTACATCTTGTTCTGTCACTTGAATTTAGAGTGGTTATTTCCATGCATGTTTTGTGATTTCATGGGGGAAATCATATTTGATAGAACTTTGTGTGAATTTTTGGAACATATGTTGAAGGTTTGCTGCTCTAAGAGGATTTTCTATTTGTCTCTGCCAGATTTTTTTCCAAAGACAGGTAGGTAAATTCAGGTCCAAGATCCATGTTAGCTGTCCATGAACGATGAAATCTCACAGATTTAGTGTGTATATGTGTTTATGTGTTTATATGTCTTAATAAGAATCCAGGCTTGACTCTGCTGGATAGATTTTCTAGTATTTCACCACTTTTCTCAGGCTGTCGTATTTCATAAGCCCTGGCTTTGTGTAGGGTGGCCTCTCATCAGGCTATTTGGCCTGTAAGGTGTCCAGTGCACACCCCACTCTCTCAGATATGTACGTGTCCATATGGTATGTGGTCAACTTTGACCCTTGCTTACCATCCTGCTGCATAGGCTTTATTGTTGACTTCAGCTTAATTCCTTTACCTTTTTGCAGATTTGTTGATTGAGTTTTTTCAATACTTTATTATTTTTACATGTTTTGTAGCCAGACGGATTAAGGATTTCCTGTGTCCACCACATTACCGTAAATCAAAGTCCTGAGACATAATTCTCAAGAAGAAAGTTAAGCCCCATATTCTCTTTTACATCACCTTTATGAAAATATAATTTCATTATGAGGGAAAATTGCCTTTGGTGTTTTTTTGGAATGTTTAGTGAAGAGAGCACAACATAGATAAATTTAGGTGACATTAATAGAAGCAGTTTTTATTAATATTTGGTTCTGGTAAATCTGTTCAAAGGGATTAGTTTACAGATTTGCAAAAACTAATTATCCTCCTAAGCAACAGTGTTTAAAGCATGCAGACAACTGAATAGTTAGCCTGTGTAAGTGAAAATAGTTTAATATTATATCCTATCAGAGTATAGTTTTAAAGCAATGGAAATAATGATAGTTGTATAAAATATACTCCAGAGCAACTTCATCCAGAGCCCCACAGCATGGTCCTGATATAGAACAAATTAAAGCTGAATTTTCAGAACATAATTCCTTATTATACTAATAGTATTTTCTGTTTTTACTATGACAGATTTTCGAGGGAGCAAATAAAGATACTGCTTTTTAATTAAACTTGGGTAACAATTTTTTTAGCTGTTTTGTGTTGAGGGGTTTAAAATGGATATTGTTAATTTGAGTAATAGTTTTAGACATGTTTTTTCATATGAACCAGTTAGCTTTTCTATAAAATTGTCTATTCTTTGACTATGGTTGGAGCCCAGTACCCCAGCTAACTTTCTTTATTTCTGTGCCACAAAGGAAACAAATCTAGTTGAATGGCGTAATGATCTGTCACCACTACTGGAAAATCCACGTTAGTTACTGATAAATTCTTCATTTTGAGAGACATGAGATATAAAAGATAGCATTATTTTTGAGATATTCATTGACATAGTTAAACTTTTGAGGCATAAATTTAGATCTCATTATTTTAAGTGATAAAAAGTTTATCTCAATACTTTGTTTTAAAGATTTTTAAAAGTCTTAATGCCTAAAAGGTGCATTAATTTTGCTGCATAAATACTAAAAATTTACTGTTGCTTCCCATTTTTAATCTTCACTTATTTGCACTAGAGTTAATACATATATATGTGAAGGTTATCTTTTTTGCCCCTTAAAATCACTCCTTAAAATTTGCTTCTTTAATTTCATCAAGAATGTCTTGCTTTTTTCATCATGAATATCTGTTATTACCCCATATGTATTCATTAGACCATGTTGTGCTAGATTTATTTAGATTCCTTGATCCTAATCTTTAGCATTTCATCTTTCATACTGGGTTTTTTGTTTTGCTTTAGGCTGGCTGCTTACCTAGAATGTTTCTCAAAATACAGCCCATTTTTTCAGTTTTTCTGAGGTATACCTTCAACCACGGTGCTTTTTGTGATTCTGTACAACCTAATGTGGTCAGTCTTCAACAATCTTGCATATCACTTTGAATCTCTCTTTTAACATTTAGTGTATGCTCTATCTCAAAATGTACATTTATATTCATCCTTTATCTTATGCAATTAATTCATTTGATTACTTTTAAAGACTTTTTTGTTTTACATTTGGTAGAAATTTTCTTATTAATTTTATAGAGTTGTAGAAAGTCAGTAAAGAAAAACAGGTAAGAGCATTAATATTTTGACATTAGGACCACTTAACCCAAATTAACACGATTGTTGCATTATGTTGTGGAACTAACTTTTCTCAAATTTGCATTTATATTTTTTCCCTCTAGGTGGCAACCTCTCACAGTTAATTAAAAGTAATTTGGCTTTTGAATAATATTAAATGTGAAGAGTAGAAATAGAATATATGATTTGGTGGATTTTTCAACATGTTCTGAAGTTGGATATCAGATTATTTCAGAAATCTGAGACCTCCGAGGCTGAATTTAAAGTTTTCATTAGAACACCAGTAAATTTCTTTTTGGATAACAGATGTATCCTTACTGGGTTATACAGAAATAACAATAGTGGTAGTATTGAAGCCCTTCAGAAATTAAATTGTTTTGTTTATATTTGTCTTTATTCTTGTTGATTTTTTTCATCTCTTCTAGAACCAGAGTTTGGCAGGGCTACCAGTAATTTTTTTTTCTTTTCTTTTCTTTTTTTTTTTAAGTCAAACTAGCATTTTGATGTTTGCTTTTATTCAGTTGTTCTTGTTTAAAGTTGGATTGCTTGAAGTTTTATTAGCACTAAGACATCCCCTGCAGTGCTGACAGTGCCATGAGAAGATAATGTGAAATCTAGAGAAAAAAATACATGGTACCTGTTACTATTACCAGAATTCTCAGATTCTGGTAGGGGAAATTCTCTCCTTAATATTATTAAAGGGCTTGAAACATTCCCCTCATATATACTCAAGCTGTAACATAAATAACTTTCAGTTATTCAACGTATAGCCATTGAGTAACCAAATTTTGCAAAATATAATAGTTTTTCTCAATTTTTATAATTCTTCAGTTACTGAATAATGCATTATTTTAGTTACTAGAATCTGGTGAAATGAATCAGTCTTCTGAGCTTTGCTATCATTTGGTCTATTTAGGATTAACTTTGATTTGTATCTATAAATATTTGAGTAATACTGGATTACAGTCAGATTTCTTATAGAAGATTTAGTTTAAACCCCACATTATTTCCTATATCTTCTAATCTCTAGTGATAACAACCTAAAAGGAGTATTATTGGTAGATTTAATACCTTTGTTTTCCTTTATGTATTTAGGTCATAGTGATGGGAGCTACTAATCGTCCTCAGGATCTTGACTCTGCTATAATGAGAAGAATGCCTACGAGGTTTCATATCAACCAGCCTGTAGGTGGATTTGTTAGTATTATGAGCGGTTAAATTATTCACTTTTTCCAGATATTTATCTATGATTTTAAGAAGGGAATGATTTTTTTTTTAATAAGATTTACTTATGACAGACAGGGTAGGAATAGGGCAAGAATCTTCATAATTACTTTTGTCCTTTCCATTCCCTTCCTGGCTTTTTCTGTCTTTCCTATGGTTAATGTTATTTGCTTCTTTTCAAAGTATGTAACTCCCTCAAGTTTGCCTAGTCACTTTAGGGGTTTTCTTTAGAATGTAGCAAGTTATCTATAGAAGATACATAAGAAAATCTAAATTGTGGTTTTGATTTAGCATAGGATGAAATTAGGGGGTTTCAGGTTTAAGAATTGTTCTGTTCAGAAGGCCTGACAGGAAGAACATCTGTTATTTATTTGATCAATTATTGGCGGTTGTAATTGGTGCTTTCCTCTGACAGGATTAATGATTAACTAGTAGCTAACATACTGTACTTTACCATAAGAATGCAAGTATAAGGATAGGATTGAACTATCTTTTTTCTAGTATTCTTTTTGTTGGTGAAGATGTACCCTCAAGTAAATGATTACAACTTATTGATACTCTAATTTTTGCACACAATTCTCATATCTTGGATTTTGTCTGCTTTTAGATTAGAGAAGAAAAAACAAACAGTGGTAGTAATAGAATGTATACACCATCCAATCAGCATGTTACGTGCAGAGGAACTTTCACTGTCATTCCTTTCAAAGTTTACAGTAAATCTCTGACTTTAAAATATTTGTCCTATTTTATATTCTTCAATTTAACAGTTTGTGGCAGTAAACATGATTTCCCAAAACTGGTGGTTGTGACCTCTATAGAATTACTCTGATCTAGTGTTTGCTACAGCTACAAACTCTGGTTCCTCTGAGGGTATGCATAGATTTAAGCAGTCCATTAAAAAATTTACCTGGTAATTCAATGAAGAGATTTTTTTAACATGATATAGGAGGTTATAACATTTATTTAGTCTGACTAATATTTATTGAGCATTAATATGTGTCAGATTCTTTCTAGGCTCTGGTGAATAGAACAAGGCCCCTGTCCTAAAAGAACTCTGTTTCAGGGGAGCCAGACACATAAATAATGTAAAATGTACTTTACAAAGTTATGTTTAAAGAATTGGGAGAACCTGAGATGATGATGAAAACTAATAATTCTGTCTGAGGAGTTAGTGAAACTTACAGAATCCAGCTGGGCCTTGAAAGATGAAGCATGGTAGGAATTTGGTGGCCAAGTGAAGCAAGGAAATGCTTTTCTACCAAAATGAACAAAGGCAAGGAGGTGTGGAAGCACACATTTAATAAGGTGACTTGTGGGGGTAGTAGTTTATTTTGTTACTACAACTTCAGAGTATTTTTGGAGAAAATTAGGTTGCCTCAGTTGTTCTGAAGGTAAAGATTACATTGATAGAACCTCTGCCTGCAAAGTGTTTTGATGTACAGTAGAGTAGAACATAGGGTACAGCAGATGGAAGTAGCCTTTACTGAAGTTCTAAGTTTAATGTGTTTATTATGTGAGTTCAGAATGGGCTGTAACAGATTCATCAAATTTGTATCCTGTTAATGTGGAAACTGGGAGTTTGTAACCCTCTTTTCATTCTGTTTTTAGTGAATGTACACACACATACTTTATAGGGCAATTTTTTTCTTATATGACTATGATATCAAAGTATATTATTAACATTATCTTAAAACTCCTTTCCAAGTTAAATGTTTATTAATAAAAAATACTTATTGGTAATCAAATATACCAAATTAACCTTCATTCTTAACACACTTGAATTATAGAAACAGCAGACTTTAGTTTTGTTTTTTGGGTCATTTGATTTGATACTCATTGTAAAAGCTCGGTTTTTTTCGGTGGTTGTGGGAATAGGGCTGAGTTCAGCCATAATAATTTTTGAAAGCATTCATATTTACTATATATGTAGGTATTGTCTAAAAGCTTCTATTCTCTAGTATAATAATATGAAGCATCACTGGGGAAAAAAGCAGACAAGCATGTAAACAAATATACTATCAACACTAAATAAAGTCACTAATGTAAATTAGTGAACATGGAAGTTACATGTTGAATGGAAGAACCAAGCGGGTATTGTTGCTCTCTCTTCCAATTAATGGTAAAAATTTTATGGCAGCAGTGAGTTTTCATAAGGTTCCTAAATGAAGAAAAGGAGATTTGCAGAGCTTTAGAGGAAAGACATTGGTAATCATAGGTTTTCATTTACTCACTCAAGAAATATATAAAGGGATGTTATTTCCCAAATATTGTGCTAGCCACTGGGGATTCAGAATAAGAAGATACAGTTCAGTGGGATATCTACAGATGATCACTCTATAGAGTCTAGAATCTAAACCTTGTTTTAGTCAGAAGTTTCCATGACCTGTCAGAATTTCTGTCATTTCACACAGGTATTGCTGGGTAATTTACAAGGGAAGGGAAAAATATTGGGAAAACTAACTGATCCATGTTTTTTCAAAAATGCTAACTGGAAATTCTCCTGGTTTTAGGCTCTAAAACAAAGAGAGGCAATCCTGAAACTCATCTTGAAAAATGAAAATGTAAGTAGAAAATTACAGTTTTTCTCCATCCTATAAATATTAAAAAATTACAGGTTTGTAAAATCATTTTAGACAGAAATGAAAAGGGAACCTGGGAATAATGTAGCTTTGCACTTGTTACAGATTACTGTAAAACTATTGACTGCTCATGTACCTCAGTTACTATGGTATATTAGAACTAACTAAAGGTAATCTGGTTTTTAAAAAGCCACGTGTTTTCATATTTACAGATTAAAATTTAAGTCCTCATTGATATTTTTCAGACTGGTTTCTAGTTATATAAATACATTTGTTTTTGCAGAGAAATATGGGGAGCTTTTGTTTCTTATTTAATTGCAATATTTTTTTGAAGTTGGAACTAAGAAGGTATGACAATCAAAATCTTCAGTAGTTTATATTTAAGATTTTAAAAATAGGTAATATAGTCAAATGTTTCAAAAATTAAATATACATGTATTTTTCTTGCTATACAAGGAGAAGTCTCACTCTTCTCTATACTTCTTTATCCTTCAGATGACATTATGCCTGTACAAGCAAATTAGAATAAACTGTTACTCCTCTCCCCTTTTCTACATAAACCTTATTAATAAACCATATTCAGTGTTTTGTGCATTGCTTTTTTCATTTATCTTTGAGATTCTGTATTAGCATACAGTTTCCTTATTCTGTTCTCTCTTTCTCTTTTTCTTTCTCTTTCTCTTTCTTTCTTTCACTGCACAGGATTCCATTGTACAGATACAGTACAGTTTATTTAATCAATGCCACATTGAATGACATTTGGGTTGATTCCAGTCTTTCACTTTTATAAAAATGCTTCATTGAATAAACTTGTACATATGTCATTTCACATGTGTGCCAGGAGTATTAATAGGATGAATTCCCTGGAAGAGGAAATGCTAGATCAAAGGATAGGATATTTATAATTTTAGTAGGAGTTGCCAAATTGTTCATGCCAGTTTCCTCTTATATTAGCAATAGTAGAGTTTCTCTTTCCCTGTAGCCTTGCCAGCAGAGTTATGGTACTTTGTGCCAATGTGAAAGGTAGAAGATGGTGTCTCATTGTAGTTTTAATTTACATTCTTCAGGGGTAAAATGAGCATTACATGTTTCAGAGACTCTTGAATTTTTTCTATGAAATAGCTGTTCATCATCTTTGTCCATTTTTCTATTGCAATATTCTTTTTCTTACAGATTTGTAGGAACTCCAATGTATTAGAGAGATTTGCCCTTTTTTAATATGATTTGAGAATACTTTTTTCCCAGTTTGTCTTTTGATTTTACTGGGTCCCTTCCCCCGTTATGGCCTTTGGATTTTGATCTTTTTCACTCGCATGTTTGTGAAGGAATTTTCCTTATTCTCCAGCTTTTGCTACTTGTTTTTCCAAAAGTCTATAACCAAGTACATTTTAATAACGTGATATTCCTCACTATCGTAAACTTTATACCTAACTCACTATTTGAACTTGCTATCTAAACTAAGAAACCAAATAGCTTTCCATACTGCGGGATACTCAGATTTCAGTGGTTTTCCTCACTCCTTGAATCACCGTCATCCCATGGCTAATTCTGCTCTTTTCATACGCTGTCTACTTCCTCACCTCTCATGTTTTCCCAGCATATCTCATCTGCAGATATTTTAGTTATAACTCTAAAAGGAAGAATTCCTTTCTTATCTAATAACTTCATTACCATTATTATACTTAGCCAAAAAATGACAACAGTTCATTACTGTTGTTGAATATTTGTTCAAATTTTCTAAACATCTTTTTTTTAAACCATATGTTTAACTCAGGATACATATAAAGTTTATAATTTGCAATTATCCCATAGTTTTTAAATCTCTTTTAATTTATAGATTATAGATTCTCCCTTTATCTCTTTCCTCCTTTCCCTCTTCCCCCTTTCAATTTGTTGAAAAAAGTAGGTTGGTTTTGTCCAGATTTTTACGTAATCTGAATTTTGCTGATTACACAAGGAGCAGTAATTCCTCCAAATTGGTAGTTGTTATCAAGAGACTGGATGAGATTCAGGTTCAGGTTGGCAGAGAGGGGAGACAGGACTGCTTCTTAGGTAGAATTATATTCTTTCTTTAGGAGATGCATAATATCTGGGTGTCCTTTATGGTTTTATGTTTTAGGTTTGAATCTTTGCTGTGCTTGGTTTTTATCCCAATATTTAATGTGCTTTGAACTTTGCTTTAGTTTTTCCAGATAGATGCCCAGTTATCCCAGCACCATTTTTTAAATAGTCCATCTTCTTCTCATTAGTGATGCCATCTCTATCATAGGCTAAATTCTCATATGTATTGGCTGTGTTTCTGGACTTTGAATTCAGCTCATTGGTCTTTTCTGCGTTTATGCACTGGCACCACCCTTTACATTAAGGCTTTGTAAGTTGACCCCTGACCCACAGTTTCCTGGTTATTTTTGCTCATTTATCTGTATGAATTTTAGAATTAATTTGTCTTATTCAAGAAAAAACAAATGCCAGTGTTTTCAGTGGATCATAATTTAAGAGAACTAAGATCTTTTTTATATTGAATCTTTCTGCCCAGAAGCATTTATGTCTTTCTGGTTGTTCACGTCTTTCAGTGGTATTCTGTTCATTTATTTCTTTAAAATATATCAAAATAACATATATGCTGTTTGCTAAAGTTTAAAGACTAGCAAATTACAGAGATTAGATCATTGCTTACTAACCTTTTGGAGGATCATAAAGAGCCCTTTAATAAAGAGATAAAAGCTATGTATGTAGTCTTTCCTTTAAAAACTACTTATATACATGAAATGTTTTGTATGATTTCAAGGAATTTCCTAAAATCTTTCATGCATTCTGGGTAAGGAACTTTTGTCCTAGGTGAGTGAGAACTCAACAAATTACGTTTTGTCTTTTAATTGAATGTTTGATAACTGCTTTCAAAAAGACATTGTATAGTTCCAGTACTGTTTAGATAAAACAGGCTTCATGGTCATCCTTTGACAAGGATAGGTATTGATGAACAGAGAAGAAAACAGAAGATCAAATGATTTCACAAGTTCTTTTGAATTAGAATGGCTGTGATGTGGCTAGAAATTTAACAAGCTTTAGAAGTTTTTTGTGGACAGTTTTGCAGACTTCAAGTTAACAATTGTAATTATTCAATTAAAAAAATTTTTAATAAAGTGTGGCTGGAAATGAACAGTTTTGAACCCTGTGTATGTGGTCCAGTATAAACATAGGTGATGCTGATGATTGGTGTGTGTATATATATATATATATATATATATACATACATATATATATATATATATATATATATAATAGTAGTAGTATAATAATAACGTTAACGTACGTTTTACGTTTTACGTTTAACTTAAGGTAAAGTAAAGTAACGTTAACCGTTAA